CAGTACTGTTTATGTAAATCTGAAAAGCTGTATATCATTGTAAAGATGTATATCAAAAGAGTTATGGAAAGTTGATCAGAAGGGCATCCATTAACTATTAAGGGGATGCCTATATGAGGGGAGGAGTGGAATGGAACTGAAGCAAGGGATATAGAATATGACAATGTGACAACAAAAAATAAAATAAAACAGGCTTTTATTATCCATCAGTTGAACTTTATCTAAGGAGCACGATTGATTATGTCAATCTAATTCTGTACTTTCAAGATCCATGACCCACAAAAGGCTGGGATGGTTTGGGACATGTGTGTGTGAGTTACTCTGTCTGTTGGGCATGGTTGTTATTTAGAGTTGAAGAAATGTGAATCACTATGCTTATGACTGAGTTTACTTTTTTTTTTTTTACCTTACCCTGTGATGAGCTTTATTCTAGTTAGTACAATTGGAGGCCTGATGGGAATGATGTTATAGTTTAAGTTTAGTGATTATAACATGTATTTGGACAATTTGGAGATATTATGAGTTTTGCAAAATTTATTGTCTTTGTATATATATTTCTTTTGCTCTATAATGCAAGTTTAGTACACTTGACTTTAGAGAGCCAATGAGGGACATGAGTTACATAAACATGGCCTTTTGGTAGTGAAATCCATCATTCTCTAGTTTTCTGTTATTATCTTTGGAAGCAGAGTGGGAGAAAGGATTTCCTTCCCTTCTCTCTAATGCAGCCTCAGCGAGTGACTGGCTGTCTGCTCTGGAATGAAGCATGTTGGCTTGATTCCATAAGTCTTATGTGGGAACAAGACACTGGAGGTTTTCTATTTTTTACTTATTGTCATTCCTTTGCTTTTAGTTCACTGTTCTGTCCTTTTACCATCCCGTGTCTAATCCTCTAAATAAACATAGATCAGTTGTTAATATATGTTAGTGTATCTTTCATTTTCTCTGTTAAGCATTTGTTAAAACTTTGGAAGCAAATCTTAAGCACTTCAATTTTACGTTTCCTTATTACCTAATTGTAAGTTATTGTCATGGATAGGGTAGATTACTTCCCTTGGTGAAATGGATTCAGTTTGCTAAATAAAAATATGTGGACTTAATGACTCTTCATCCATTTTTAAATCAAATAGGTAATTTGCTACCTCTCAGCAGCCTTCTAAAATTCAATGGCATTTGGTTTTGGAAAAGTAGAATTCCACAAAGAGAAAAGTATCTTTCCACATAGTAACAGTAATTAATTGGTGAATTATTTAGCACTGAACAGAGCACTCCATTAAATTCTATGGGTAATTTTTATAAGCAATTCTCCTTCATGGCTACTTTGTAGGTCACATTTCACAACATGGGAAAAACAGGGGAAAAGGATTAAAATAGATATGGGTAAGCAGAGTAAAGTAGAGCTTGAATTTGAACCCAGTTTTCATGTGTTTCTGCCTCTTCTTTTCATTTCTCTCCTCCTCTTCCTTTTTCTAGTGGGTACTTGTTTTGCAAAGTACTATCCTTGCCTGCCTTATCTTCCTCTCCTCTGAAACTTGGAAGAGCTCATTTAATCTCATGGTTGAGGGCGTAACATGGATGCATAGTTACTGTATCTCTATTTCTAGGCTTGATTTTTCTCCTGAGCTTCAGGATTCTGCGTGTCAGCTGCCCACAGGACATTACCCATTTGCACATGCCTCTCAGATCTCAAACTCATCATATCTAATGTACGTCAGAGTCCGAGCTTGCTCACTGGTGTGAATATTATTTGTTATGAGCGTACTGCAATAGTTTAGAGAAATAGTAAGTAGTGTTCAATATAAAACTAAGTATATTAAAAAAACACAAAAATAAAATGAAATCTAAAAAGTGTATTGAAAATTCAAATAGAACATAAATGTATGGAGGCATTTTTGCTAAAAGTAAGAAGGATTATTTTAAATTGTGTCTATTGACTGGTTATGCATTGTTGTTTAAAAATTTTTTTAGCCACAAATAGAATAGAGACTAACAAGGCCATTAGATGTAGGTTCTTATGGCACCTGTGGAGTCAAAAATTGCTGAATGAAACATACTTTAGGAGAGCCTGTGTTAGGAACCAAACTCACAGTTGGAAAGTAAAGTGGAATTAAATAGATAAAACAAAAAAGTTATCTGTGTATTCTAAAATTGGATGTTTTTAGATTTTTTGGATGATTGGCAAAAGGATAAGCCAATTACTTGCAAAACTGACTTTTCAGTTTTCTTATGCAGGCATATCTTGTAAGTTAATTTGAGAAATAATTTGAAGTATCTCTTTATATTATAGGGAATGTATCAGTTCAGAAAACTAAAGATACAAAATTTCCTGAAAGAATCCATAGCAATTGAAGTGATGTTATACTTTATTTCCAGGTGTAAAAGATGATTTTTACATGGCTACCATTTGTTATTATATGAGGAAAGAAAGGGACACATCCAGTTATTAAAAATGATTTTATAGAGCGTGGAACTCAATACTTGCTTTCAATATCACAAATAGGATTTTTTTTTACGGGAAAAGAAGCTATAATTTCCTATTTTGAATCACAGTTGTGGAGGAGAATGATTATTTCTTTTCTCTCTGGAAAATTTAATACTTGAGCATAAAGGATGTGTTATTAGTAGTAAGTCTGGGAGCGTGAAAAGAGAGATCACTCTTCGAGTCTTTAGATCTGTTTTATTTTTGTCAAGTTAATTTAGTAAACTTAATGTTTGTGATAATAGCTTCAGAGAAGCATAGAAAATTTTTATCTTCAGTCAAGATAAATTTGTGGTTGTTAATGATTTTGGCTATTAAGATGGTAAAATCTTTAAGAGTAAATCAGGCAAGTCAGTGTTCAAACTTTTCCAAATTGAAGTTGTAAAATAAGGAATTTGTAGCTTGTATGAGGACTTTGTTAGCCATAACATTGTATGGTCATGAGAAATATAATACTGCTGTGAAAACAGGAACCCGTCTTGTAAAATTAACCTATAGCTCCTAACATATAATGGACAAATAGCAGATACAAAACAAAGCATTTGGAAAATATTAAACATTTTACAAATGGATATGTAATTTTGAAGAGGAATTATCTTGTATTACAGTGTAGTTTTATTTTCTTTTGTGTTTGTTTTGGGTTTTCTAATGGAACTTTAAATCTTTATGTAGAGTTTTTATTTCTTTGTTTGCTTTTTTTTCCCCCAGAAAAATCTAGGGTTGTGGAAAGTCATTTTGATCATTGAACCAAATTCTACTTCTTAGCCTTTCTTTCATTACCATGAAGATGCATCTGATTGAGCTGAGGAAGAAATAATAATAGACTTTGCCACAGATGAGAAGTTTTAAACATTAATATGGGCTCTGCGAAAGTCAAATTTGTATGGGCAAAATCAAATGGGACTTTTTTAAACATTTTTTAAAAAACGATTTTATCCATTTATTTAAGAGAGAGAAAATGAGAGAGAGCAAGAAAGGGAGAAGGGTCAGAGGGAGGAGACTCTCCATTGAGCAGGAAACCTCATTTGGGACTTCGGGATCATGACCTGAGTCCAAGGAAGCCGCCCAACCAACTGAGCCACCCAGGTACCCCTCAAATGGGACATTTCTGAACACATTTAATAAGGAAGGTTGAGATGGTGTGTCCCAGTTTGCAGTTCAAGTATAAAAATAAATGTCATTGGATGCAATACTTTGGTTTTTCAGGATCAAATGGTACCCTCTGCTGGCCAAATTAGGGATTATGTTTAAAAATGAGTAGCCTTTTTTTTTTTTTTTAAAATAGGGCTGAGTGCTATAGAAAAGATTGAGCAGTGCAGAGTATTGTGAAATAATATAGAAAAATTACATATGTGAAGACTGAAGCCAATGTATCAATTAGATTAATATTTTCTGAAGTGAAACTAATATGGAAATATCCATAATTGAAATTTCCTAACCTTTTGCTCTACTTTTTAAAATTTATTTATTTATTTAAGATTTTGTTTATTCATTTGAGAGAGAGAGAGAGAATGAGAGAGAGAGAGAGAGCCAGAGCACAAGAAGGGGGAGTGGCAGGCAGAGGTAGAAGCAGGCTCCCCACTGAGCAAGGAGCTGGACGTGGGGTTCAATCCCAGGAGCTGGAGATCATGACCTGAGCAGAAGGCAGATGCGTAACCATCTGAGCTACCCAGGCACCCCAATCTGCCTCTTTTTTTTTTTTTTTTTTTTTTTTAAGATTTTAGTTATTTGAAGGAGAGAGTGAAAGAGATAGAACGAGCAGGGAGAGGGGCAGAAGAAGAAGGAGGGAGAAGCAGACTGCCTGCTGAGCAGGGAGTCCAAAACAGGGTTTGATCCCAGGACCCTGGGATCATGACCTGAGCTGCAGGCAGATACTTAACTGAACTGACTGAGCCACCGACTAAGCCATATAGGCGCCCCTTTTGATCTATTTTTTAACCACAGAAGTAGGCCGCAGGGAAGTAACACAGCAGGGGACAAACTACATGGCTCTCCTATCCCTATTTTTGATAGCAACTGTGATATTTAATTTACTTTCATCAGTTAAGTTACTTTTATAGGAGCGGTTGGCAAATATCTAGAGTAGAGATAAGAGCTACTTTTCTCCAGGTACCCTGACTTAATTTCTGTTTAAAATAATTAGAATATTCTTAAGTAATTTAGAAGTTTGATAAGTTCAGGGAGGTATCATATAACATGCATGTTTTACAGTTTTCTTTCAGTGTTTTAAATTTTTAAAGTTACTTTGGAATTTACAATGTTTGGGGAATATAATGCACACAGAAGTTACGTTTAAAAGCTTATACTGGACAATATATCATTATTTCATGCAAATTTGGAAAATACAGTTTTAAGTTTGATTCTCCTGTTTGATGTCACTCTTCATAGGCATATTGCTTTAAGAGCACCCATCCCCCCTTTCGGCTTGAGCCACTGTGTCCTGTCAGTCATCCTGAAATACACTAGGGTGCTTGTCAGGCTGTTTGCTTACAGATGCATCATAAGCCAAATTGTGAGCTGTAATAGTGGCACTGAATTTCTAAGTACAAGAAATTGCTTAGACAATTGATTTAGTATCTGTATATGGGTAATACTCTGTCCTGCAGTAGGTGAGTGAAGTGTCCAACTTTTTTAAGATCAAATTTTGCTGTGTAAGGCAAATCCTATAATTATAGATTATCTGTTGCTTGGTTAGATAACTTTGGGGGAAATAAAAGGACATTATTTCTATGAAATGGGATGAATAGAAGCTACTATGCTGTGCATTTATTACTTTTATAACTAATTTTTCTTTTAAGAACACTAAACTCTAAATGACTTTATGAAAGCTCCAATTTTATAAATGTCTACTTTTTCGAATAGATTAGTGGGCATTTCAGATTTAGATAAAAATATGATTCTCTTACACATTTTTTTCTTTCACAACAACTCAGGCAGACTCAATCGAGCAGAGGCTCCATTCTGCTATATGGCGTGTATATTAGTGATTTTTTAAAATAGCGCTGAAACAAATGTTCATGTGCCAGTGCCCAAGCTATAGTAGTGTTACATCAGAGCATTTAAAAATTCCTGCTGTGTAACCGAGCCATTACTATTTGAGTAATCATATATGCCAGGAACTGGAAGCTTTACATTCTTTACACATTAAAGTTGTGTAGCAAGCAGTTTCTTTATTTGTGCAAACAGTTTAATTTCTGTCACGGGCCTCTAAACTTAAATTGGGCATGGATGCTTTTCCTGTATTTTTTGTATGCAGCCTTAAATATCTTCAAACAAAGCATTGATAAAAACAAAAAGGAAGGAACTTGGATTTTGATACTTCCGTGTTCAATATGGTAGAGAATAGTTAAGAGACAGCAAGGAGTTAAAAGTTTTAAGGCTTTATCTAATGTAAACAAGAAGAGATTGCTTTTGCAGATACATAGAATGATTATTTATTTATTCCTTCTTCTAGAAAGGATTTAAGGTGACTTACAAGGCTGTATGAAACTCAAGATAGCACAAATTAAAAGTGGAGTGAAAGAAGAAAGGAAAACAAGCATAAGAATATAAAACAGAGTCAGGAATGAGGCAAAAAATGCAGTGGTTTTGACTGTGGTTTTATGATACTAGTGTACTACAGATAGATGGGAGAGAAAATTCGGGGTTACAGAAATCTTTCATGGCAATTTCATACAAACCAGTTGTCTTCCTTACTGCAGGTGGCAGTTCGGAGTGAGGAGAGTATGTTGAGCAGTGAATATTAAATACACTTTAAATGTCACTTGTGTTTTGGTGGGAAAAAATTGGAGAACTGCTGCCTTTTTAATCCTTGCACTGATTTACGTGATCTTGTATGACTCCACGTTTTCTAGGAGCAGAAAAAGATTGAGTCTGTCACTTAGCTCAGGAGAAAGATTTAAGAGGTTTAGTTTTTTAGAAACAATATTTTATCTAAATATGGTAAAATATTTATATATTAAAACAGACATGATCAAGACAATGTTTGAAGTAAAATATATTTGGCAGTTTTGTGTGAATCTATGAATCTTGTCCTAGTATTTTTTTTAATAGTTTGTTGTAAATGAGATTAGCTACTTTCATCATTCCTTTTACTCTTTCAATTTAGTGATAAGTTTAACTTGAATTTCGACTTACGTTAGGTCAAAATTAACTGGATCAATCTAACTGAGAAATAAGTTGTTGATTAGGAGGAGGGAGTTAAGAGACAGGACTTTAATGTTCTTTGATCTTTAAATACTCAAAATTCAATACTGTGTTGGAGACTCTGGGCTCTGTACTGCACACCATACCAAACCCAGCTTGTGTAAGTGAATAAAATAAGCTTGCAAACTCATTGCTTTCACCCAGGAGTATTGAAGAACAGAATTGTAGCAGTTAAAACTTTGCCAAAGTATCTTTACTGATATCCTCAGAAATCAAATTAACATGTAAATCATGGACAATCATTGGGTCCCTTTTTAAAAAATTCTGTTGTTAAAAATAAGATCAATAAAACATAATTTTGGAGCACTGGGTGTGGTGCATAAACAATGAATCTTGGAACACAAAAAATTAAAATAAAAGAAGACATAATTTTTTTTAAAGGGCAGTGAAAAAACAAAGAAAAATACTCAAAGCTTTTGTTTTTATAGTTTTATAGTATAAACACATATGCAGGTTGAGTTAGAGTTCTTTCAAGGAAAAAATATGAATCGTACACATAATACATCAGGTACATAGAATGACATTGAGAATAAACTGGACACCAAAGAGGCTTGCAAGCTGCAAAGCAAATATTATTAGGAAGTTAAATAGGGTCAGAGTGCCTGGGTGGCTCAGTTGGCTTGAGATTCTCTCTCCCTCTGCCTCTCCTGCTAGTGTTCTCTCAAACAAACAAACAAACAAACAAACATAAAGTGTTTTAAAATCAGGAAGTTAAATAGGGTCAAGGCACCAAATAAACTGAATGATGTAAGAGAGAGGTCGAGAATATTCTGTAAATGTTAATCATACAACTTCCTTTTTGTATGATTCTTTCACTTAGCATAATGCCTTTGAGAGATATTCATGTTGTTGCCTTTATCAGTAGTTTACTTTTTTCTTACACAAAGTATGACGCGATGATTGTATTACAAGATTGCTTATTTATTTGTTAAAGGAAATTTGAGTTTTCAAGTTTTTGACTATTATGAATAAGGCCAAAATGAACATTTGTGTATAGGTCTCTATGTGGACATATGCTTTCATTTCTCTTGGGTAAATGTTTAAGGAGTGAAATTGCTAGGTCATATGGTGGGTATATGTTTAATTTTGTAGGAAACTACCAATTTTTGTTTTCACTAGCAATGTATGAGCTTTCCAGTTACTTCTCAACTTTGCTAGCTTGGGTATTGATAGTCTTTTTAATTTTAGTCATTCCAGTAGGTGTGCAGTAGTATATATTGTGACTTTAATTTGCATTTCTCTAGTGACTACTGATATTGTGCATTTTTCATGTGCTTAATTACCATCTATATATCTTCTTTGGTGAAGTGTCCTTTCAAATGTTTTGTCCATTTTAAGATATTGAATTGTTTTTCATGTAATTATTGATTTCTAAGTATTCTTTATATTTTCTGGATAAAGGACCTTTATCATATATGGGTTTTAAAAGTACTGTGACTCAGTCTGCTTGCCTTTTCATTTTCTTTTTTTTTTTAAGATTTTTAAAAATTTATTTACTTAACAGACGGAGATCACAACTAGGCAGAGAAGCAGGCAGAGAGAGAGGAGGAAGCAGGCTCTCCGCTGAGCAGAGAGACCAATGTGGGGCTCGATCCCTGGACCCTGGGATCATGACCTGAGCCGAAGGCAGAGGCTTTAACCCACTGAGCCACCCAGGCGCCCCACCTTTTCATTTTCTTAACACAGTCTTTCAAAGAGCAAAAGTTTTAAATTTTGTTGAAGTCCAATTTATCAATATTTTCTTTTATGAATCCTGCTTTTGGTTGTCGTATCTAAGAAACCCTTGCCTAACCCGAGGTTACAAAGGTTTTCTCCTATGTTTTCTGTTTTTTTTTTTTTTTTTTAAAATTTTTTTTTTTTTTTTTTTTTTTTTTTTTTTTTTTTTTTTAAGTACGTAGACTGTCAAGCAGAGAGAGGAGGAAACAGGCTCCCCGCTGAGCAGAGAGTCCAATGTGGGGCTCGGTCCCAGGACCCTGGGATCATGACCTGAGCCGAAGGCAGAGACTTTAACTCACTGAGCCGCCCAGGCACCCCTCTCCTATGTTTTCTTTAAGAAGTTTGATAACTTTGTCTTATCCCTAGCTCTGTGATCTATTTCAAGTAAATTTTTGTATCTGGTGTGAGAAAAGGTTTGAGATTCTTGTTTTATGTATGATGCCCAATTATTTCAGCACCATTTGTTGAAAAGAAACTTGAGCTACTTTGGCACTTTTGTTGAAAATAAATTGTCCATGTTAATATTATGTCTAATATATGAGGATTTAAGAAAATGTAATCATTTTATCATGCCCAATAAAATTAACAAATATTAGCATTATCAAGTAGAGACTGTCTAATTTTAACTGCTTAAAAATGTCTTTTTATAGTTGGATTTTGGAATCAGAATTCAGGATTGACATAATTTTGTGTGGCTGGTAATAACAGTTTTCCTTCTTTTCCATGTCATCTGTGAGTTGAAGAAACCAAGTCATTTTGTCTTGGAGTATTTTTCACATTCTGGATTTGGGTGATGGCAACCTTGTGATGTCACTTAACACATTCCTCCTTCCAGTAAAGTGGTAGTTAGATCTAGACAAGTCTTGATTAGATTTAATTTTAACTCTTTTGGCAAGAATACTGTGTGGATGATGTGTACTTCCCATTGTGGCACGTCAGGAACCATAGAGTCTGGATTGTGTCACATTTGGTGACGTTAAATTTGATCAGCACGTTCAGGCTTTGTAAGCCTGATTCTCAAAGTTCCCTATTAATCATTCACCGAATGATTTTAACTTTTACTGATGATAATTTTCCAGATTATTATTTTCTAAGGGGTTGTAAATGGTGATTTTTAGTGTTTTGTAATTCTTAAATAGTTTTATTGGTTGGGATTACTCTATAAAGAATTTTAGAATATTCCTCTAAAGTATAGTTCATGCCAGAAAATCAGGAAAATACTTGACTATTTCTCATTTTTTATTAGTTTTCAGAAAAATAGGATGGTGTCCTAGCAACTTTGAAAGGTAACCAGTGAGTTTTTGTTTTTTGAACTAATTTTTATGTACGTTTTATTGCAATCTTCATTTGCAATAAAGATAAAAATCCTTATCTTTATTGCAGTCTTTATTTGCAGTAGATAAAGATTGCAAAAGATACTGCAATCTTTATTCTTTTGATGCTCAAATTTCCCATTTTTGGTCAGTGAGAATGCCTTTAACTTGGGTCCTGAGCCTCTTGACAAATCCAAGTGGTTTTTATGTTTCAGGTAAGATGTTTTAGGCTGATTTTATATATTTCCTGCCCCAGATCTTCAACCAGCATTTTCTTTGAGAAGCTTGGGTCCTTTTAGTGGGAAATAGTATTTAGGAAACACAATCTATGTACTGGCTTGCTGTTGCCATTCCCACTTCCTTTTTATTTTGTG